GAAAATCGAAGTTTCGTGCTCCTGGAAAACCTGGAAAAATTGGCAGCTTTGGACGCAATTTCCAGTTCCTGGAGTCTACTTTAAACGCGGCATGAGGGGTTGAACTCATGACAGGCAGCTCAGGGGTACAGCGCCGCTACCGGCTGAGCTACGGGGGCGCGAATGCGCCTGACGACCGATGGTCCACATAAGCGCGGCGCGATTTTGTCCCCCGAACTGTCCCTCGAAATTTTTGCTGTCTCGCCTCTTTTAAATGAGAAAAAAGTATTTTTGAGATGTGCGACAAAAAACTAAGAGAAATGTAGACTACGGTCTGATTGGAAACTGAAGATGTCAGTTCGGTGCGTTGTAAACTGAAGAGATCAATTTTGACAGATTCCATTTGCTGATGTTGTCGAGTTGGAGATCTCCTAAACCGTATTATGTTTTTCTCATTCATCCATCTACCTAAAAATCGTTGTCTGTCCCCGGTTTCGCATTCAACCGAGTTTTTCAGGTTATTCCCAACGCAACCAGGGGTGCGTCTGATTCTTCAGGCCTGTTTGGCGGACTCATACAATCGTGTTTTAGTTGCTCTAAATAAGATAAATGAGCTTAATGTGACTATACAAGTGAGATTGATAGCCTTTTGAAATCTTATAACACGGAAAACCGCGCTGAAATGGAATAAGTTGATTTTTGGAAATTTGTCTGAAAATTCTGGAAAATTTAGATTTTCTCTTTTGCTATCTAATTTTCTCCAATGACATATCAACAAAAAATCAGCTTTTGAGAAAGTTTCAGAATCGAAAAACATCTTATGACCCCAGCATTTACAATAACCCTCCCCCCCTTTATTTGGGGTGGGCATATACTTATGACGCGGCCTAATAATCGGTTTTCTTCCACAAAACGCCTGTTGTGCGAGATATGGTCATTAAAAACTGTGACTAGGTTTTCAGCTATGCTGAATCGAATAGCACCAGCATCATTTCATGAAAATTCTTGGGCACCCCAGAACCTCCAAATTAGGGGATGGGCATATACTTATGACGCGCACTGTATTCGATGTCTATCGTAAAAAAAATGAAAGGGCAAAAGAAAACAAAAGTGCAGCATCAGAAACAATGACGTGGTTTATTGATTCAACCTCGAACAGAATTTGTAGACTAAACTCTCTTATCAAACTTAAAATCAAAATAACAGACAAATGTTTGAAACATTTTTGTTTCAGCTTTCTCCCAAAATTTAAAGGTGGGGGACATGAAAAAAATAATGTTCTCGAAATTCCGTTCAAAGATGCCCCTCGAGGAGTTGAACTTGTGAGGGCGATGATTGAGGGTGCGGCGCCGCTACCGACTGAGCCACGCGGGCAAAGAGAAAGCGCACGCCCGATTGCATACATAAAGGCGAGGACAACATCTGTACGCAGAGTGACATTAAGCGTTGTACACATCACGGTAGAATGCATACTCCAGCTACAAAAAAACTACGAAAAATCTCCTGTCCCCCCACCTTTAAAATAAAATTTATTTATTGATCCATACCATATTTCTTTTTATAAATATCATAAATCTGTTTGTCTTTTGGACTCATTGAATTGATAAATTTATCTGTTTCATCTTGAAAATCCTTGATAAATCTGTCGGTTGCTTCTTTGTCCTCTGAAACTTGTTTGAATCCTGTTCGGAAATTAGCATCAAGAACAGCGAGACCATGTATCACTGCTGGTGACATTCCGATCGCTTTGAGTTCAGCGCCAGCACGGAAATCTGGAAATTTTGAACTAAAGGTTTGAGAAAATTGAAGGATGTGGACCCATATTTCTCCCACGAGTCCTAGTCCGGAAAGAAAAACTTCAGTGAACATTTATATTTTCATACTTGCAACCGGGCCTTTGCCGGGCCTTCGCGGGATCTGTCATATCTTCTTTTAGAATTAATATTTTTTATCTAACTAAATTAAATATGAGAGAACTCAACGAGTGCTACAAAATGATATTACTTGGAAAACGGTGCCTTGTTTTTGAACAAAGTAACAGACAAAAAACCAAGGCCCGGCCCGGCCCGGGTTTTCGCGACAAGGCCCGGCCACTTTATAACATAACTTTTTTCAGGGTTGGCAACGGGGCTCCCGCTTTTACGCGGGAGCCCGGCAAGCGGGGCGGGGATTCGCCTCCGCCCCGCCTGTGGAAAAAAGCAGTTCGTTGAATGAAGCAGTAACCAAATTTTTTCAATTTTTTTTTACGGTTCAGGGTACCCAATTAGGCTACCCTGAAAGTTTCAAGTCAATTGGTCCATTCAGTTACGCGTGATTACGCAAAGTATGCCGCCTCCCGGGGCGGGGGCGCGGGGTGGGGATCGCCTCTTTTCGCCCCCAAGCCAACCCTAACTTTTTTCATACACAAGACACAGTTCTCCAAATATTATCCGTGACACATTTTTTGTTGATTCAAAATTTTCCATATGGTCTGACGAATAATTCTTCACTAAATTCCCAAAAAAAGTCTTCAGGAAATATTGTTTTTTGATCCAGGGAAATCTTTATAAGAAGGATCCCTTCAATAGAAGGGCCTTCTCCAATGTCTGTTACTTTATGTTTGAAAATTCCGTACGTTTTTTTTTCAGAAACCGCATTTCTTCACACTTGCTTAATTTTTTGTGACATTGGTAGATCATTAGTTTTAAAAGAGAATTCACCGAATTTTTCTATGCAATTATTTGGAAACAGTGGCTGGAAAAATAGAAGGGCCCTCCACCGGTATCCCGAAACAATTGAAAGATGCCGTTCTATTACAGCTTTACCACTATTTAAGGAAAAAAAAAAGATTCCTAACTTACCATTTGTTGGAGGTTCAATGAAAACTGGAAACGTTGAGAAGACATTCATTATTTGTTCTTCCAAAAACAAATGGAAATCGGGAGAGTCGCCCAGGAATAGAGACCAGAAAACCAACTAGGGTGTGTTTAGTCTCTCTTTCTCTTTTCTACCTCTCCCTTTATTCCGACTTTTTGGACATTGTCATGTGAGGCACAAAATGTCGATTTTTTGAATTGGATTTGGAGTTCGAATGATTTAGAAATTTCAGATTCTGGAGCCGTATGAACCCGTTTGAAAAGTTTAGCTACTATTTTTCAAAAAAAAAAGTCAAGATAGTATTTTTTGAAAGAGAAATCTTGAAATAATAAATAGTTTAATGGGTTTGAATGCATCGGCAGACACCACACTTTGAAGAAAAGAAACCACAAAAGAAAGCTGACATACATAAAGCGGCAAAAAGAAAAAAATAGTTATAGAATCTTCAAAAGAAAAATTTAAATCTGGAAAAAATTTTCAAAGTTCTCGATTTTTCAAATCTCGCAGTATTTCCGTTTGCCGTTTCTGAAGCAACTTTTTTGATTTTTACCTTTTTTGTAAATTTTTCTGAAATAAAATTTTATAATTCTTTTTTTGATACTCTTATAAATCCATCAGTTTTCCTGAAAACCATTTTTCAAAAAACACTATAATCAAAAAACAGATGACCTTCATTCCTCCTGATTCGACAAAATCTATCTTGTCTAACACAGTGTATTTTATAGTTTGTATTTTTCATCATTTTACAAAGTTCAATGTTTAAGTTTTTGGATACAGATTCTCATTTCTCTCGAATCAGATACTCCCCTGATCGGGAATTCAAAAGATGTTTGCTCAAATGTGGCTACAAAACACGCTTTTTGTCTTAACATAATGTTCATTTCTTTATCAGCTCTTGATAATTTTTGTTCCGTTAAGTTAAATTTCATCGATTATTTTTTTTTCTATTTTTCAAGTTTCTGACGTCATCTAGATTCTCTCCGTATGGCCGAGTTTCTCTAATCGTCAAAATCTTTCATTCTTTTCTTCTCTCTTTCTCTCTTTTGCCCAATTTTACGATTTTACAACAGAAAGGACTATTTGCACTGTCTAGAGAAATACAAGAAAAGAAAAAAAGAAAGATCAAAAGTTTTTTTTTCTTGTTTCCTCGACTTAAAAAATTTCGTAGTTTACAAACTTTCATATTTTAATTATTTTATGGTTTTTAAAATTTACAGTAAGTTAGCAACTTTCCAAAAAAGTAAATTTTTGTTAGAAAATTTTTTTGAAGTTTTCAGAGCAAATTTCTTTTTAGAAAATATTTTTTCCTGTTTTTCAAATCCGAATTTTCTTCCAAACTTTAGTCTTATCTGATTTATCGATCCTTGCCTGACCAACGAAACAAAAGAAAGCAAACATTTATTTTCGGCCGTTTGGAGTGCATAATTGTATTTTCCATAACAACTTTGCGACTTTTTCTTTCTTCTCTTTCTATATATTTTGACAAATAGAATTTTTCACTTTCAAGGATTTTTTGAAATTTACAAGATTTTTAGAGAATTTTGGACATCGCAGTTTCCTAATTTTCCATCAAATTAAAACATCGAGATTCGTTTTTGAATAATTATCTATATAAATTTTCTCCTTGTTTTTCAAAGTTATTTTCCCATTTTTCAGGGGGCGATATCACTAAAAACATGACCTGCCTGGTTTGTGGATCCCCGAAATCTGAACCACATTTTGGCGGAAACTCTTGTCGGTGAGTAAACGGGCCAAAAATTCGGGGGGTACAATGATTCGGGGGTACAAGGGGGTACAACTGATTTAGGGGTACAAAATTGGTGATTCGGGGGTACAAAATTCGTGGGTACAAAAATTCGGGGGGTACAACGATTCGGGGGTACAATCTACTAATGATTCTGGGGTACAACTTATTTCATTTAGGGGTACAACGTTTGTGCTTCGGGGGTACAATTTTTTTTGACGAAGTTTCTGAATTCCTGAATTTCAGAGCCTAAAAATCTCTGAATTTTTAGAATTTCAGAACTTCAAAATCTCAGAATCTCAGAACTTCGGAACTTCAAAATTTCAGAACTTCAGAATCTCAATATTTCTGAATTTTCAATAATTACGGCAGAAATTTTCTTCATTGTCTTCAGAATTCTTAGAATTCCAAAATTCGGAATCTGAGAACTTCGAAACTTCAGAATCTGAGAATTTCCAAATTTAAGAATCTCAGAATTTCAGAACTTTGAAATCAAAGAATTTCAGAACTTTAGAATCTCAGAATTTCAGAACTTTGGAACTTCAGTATTTCGGTATCTGAGAATTTCGAACGACAGAAATTTTCACTTCTCATTGTCACATTGTTCTTTTTGACAATAAGCTAAACTTGACAAATTTTACAACCTCAGTTTTTTAATGCTTAATTTAAGTTCAAAACCCAACCGATACTTTTCTCAATTCCTTGTTTTTTCAATTCTATTTCAATTCCCTTTGTTTCTCAATATTCCTTCGTCTTTTTTCCCAATTTTTCTCAATTTTCCAATTTTTCTCAATTTTCCTCAATTTTCGCGGTAATTTAAATTTTTCTCCTTTTTAAACAATTTTCTATATCATTGATTGAAGGAAACAATCACAATTTAGCTATTTCCCACAAAATTCGAAAATCCCAAAAATTCGCCCAAAATGAGCTATTTTCTATAGAAAATTGTTCGAACAGGCCATAAAACATTTCAAAAATTATAAAATTAATTTTTTTCGACCAATTACCGCGAAAATTTGAGCAAAAATGATGAAAAACGAAGGAAAACGGAGAAAATCCCAAAAATAAAATTTGCGAGCGATGATGTCATCAGTCCATGGCCGTGGCCGAGCTGAGGGGTTTTCTCTTCCATGGGAAAATTTCGCGAAATTGAGATCTTTTCGCAATTCCCATTTTTCTCCGTTTTCCAAAAATGAGAAAAATTTAAATTACCGCGAAAATTGAGGAAAATTAAGAAAAATTGGGAAAAACGGAAAATTGGGAAAAACGAAGGAATATTGAGAAACAAAAGGAAATGAAAAAGAATTAAGAAATAAAATAGAGAAAAATTGGAAGTGAGGAAAGTATCGACTGGCATTAAAATCCGTTTGTAAAATTTGTTAAAATCATTTCAAAGTTCTCCATTTTCTTTATTGAAATATTGAGATTCTGAAGTCCTGAAGTTTTGAAGTTCCGAAGTTCTGAGATTTTGAATTTTTAGCATTCTCAGATTCTGAAGATCCGAAATTCTCTGATTCTCAGATTCTGAAGTTACAGAATTCTCAGATTGCGAATTCTGGAATTCCGAAGTTCTGAAATTCTAAGAATTCTGAAGTTCTGAAATTCTGAGATTTCGAAGTTCTGAAATTCGGAAATTCTTAGATTCTCAGATTCTGAAGTTCCGAAAATTTCATATTGTCAGACTCTGAAGTTCCGAAATTCTCAAATTCCGAATTCTGAGATTTTCAAGCTCTGAAGTTCAGGAATTCAGAAACTTCGTCAAAAAAAAATTGTACCCCCGAATCACAAACGTTGTACCCCTAAATGAAATAAGTTGTACCCCAGAATCATTGGTAGATTGTACCCCCGAATCGTTGTACCCACGAATTTTGTACCCCAGAATCACCAATTTTGTACCCCTAAATCAGTTGTACCCCCTTGTACCCCCGAATCATTGTACCCCCCGAATTTTTCGCCAGTAAACGTTGCTAAATTTTTTATGGCATTTTTTTCAAAGTTTAAACCAAACTTCATTCAAAACTCTCAAATTTCAGCGCGTGCGCAGCATTTTTTCGCCGGTGTTTTCACTCAAAAAAGTTGGTTCTAGGATGCATTTGTAAAAGAAAACCGTCGAATTATCATCCATGTAGAAGTTGTCGATTGGCGAAATGTCTAGCAGTTGGAATGAAGCAAGAAAGTGAGTTGAAATTATTTTTAAAAATTGATGAAAAGTTGAAAGAAAGGAAAATCTATTTAACTATAATTCAGAAATCAAAAATTCAAAAATTCAGAAATTCACGGCCAACGAGATCCGAATGGTTCACAATCTAGAGAATCATCAACCGAATGTCCAAATATTTCCCCCATTCCGGTGAGTATTTTTTTCAATTTTGCATACAAAAATCAAAAAAATTTCAGTTTTTCCTCAGTCCACGATGCTCCGGACATATTGAATTTTCGATTCCATTTTTCTCGAAATACGAAAAGAAACGAGAGGAATTATATCCAAATATTCGAACACAAAATCTTTACGAACTCTCATGTTTAACAAAACAAGATGTTAATGTGACATGTGAATTCGTCGTTGAAGTATTCCCGGAATTTCAAAAACTATCAAGTCCGGATCGACAAGGACTTTTACACAATTTTATGCTGAAAATCTGGAATCTTGAGCCAATCATGGATGATGTTGCTCAGCGGAAGAAGTTTGGAAAAATGGATGATGAGGAAATTCGAAATTTCATGCTCCCAATGTTTGTGGGATGTTTTCAAAAAGGAGCAGAAATCGGGAAAAAGGATTTGTGGAGGTATGAATTATCTTGAAAAATTTCTCAAAAATTCTAAAAAATGGCTCATAAATTTTCGAAACTTGAATCTTTCAAATTTTCCTGATATCTTAGGATATCTCAAAAAATTTTCAGAAATTTCTCATACATTTTTTCCTTTAGCGATTTCATAGAAGTTGTCAAACTATTCAAGTTTTTTCAAATTTCCTATTTTTCGAATTATTCTGAATTTTCGAAATTGTTCCAAAAACTCATATTTCCCGATTTTTTCAAAAGTTCTCACACTTTTTTTGAATTTTGCATATTTTCCGAATTACATATTTTCCAGAATCTTTTCTATTTTGTTTTGAAATTTCTCTATTTTTCATAAGATTTTTGACCATTTTCCAGTTTTTGAATATTTTAGAAGTTTTCAATTTCCGATTAAAAACAATTTTAAAATTTAAAAATTCTTTGAAAATATTTCGCTATTTCAAATTTATTAAATTTCTTAGACATTTTCGAAAACTTTTTGAAAATTTTCGATTTTTGCAAAAAATTTCAATATTCAAAGTTTTTCTATTTTCAGAGATTCTCGAAAAATTTCTCAAAATAATGGACGGTCCAAAGTAAAAACTTTTTTCCAGATTATTCGGATTCTATTGGAGAGCATATTTTGAAAAACTGATTGAACCACTAATCAATTTATCATTGGATTCAATGGAATTCATGGCCACTATTTGGATTTTATTTTTTGATCACGGTGAGAAATTTTATTTTACCAGCCTGTTTGCCGCGCCTCCGGCGCTTCAAACATCTGGAAATTTTACTGTTCGTCGCTTCGCGACTTTTTTTTTTTTTTTAGTGCCACGTCAACTTATATTTAATTTTCAATCTTTTAAAAATGTTCGGACAGAGTGATAGAGAAATAAAAAGACGCAACTTCATTTACCGTAAAACCTCTAATAGAACGACACCCGGATCGTCCACTTTGAGCCTATATATCTCATTTTCTGTAAAAGATATCAAAAAGTGGCTAACTAGTAAAATGTTGCTGATATCCCGACCAACATTTTACTAGTTAACCACTTTTTGATATCTTTCAAAAGAAGTGAGATATATAGGCTCCCAGTGGACGTCCAGAGTGTCGTTATATTAGAGGTTTTACGGTATTTATTATAAGAATGATAAATTATAACAAAATTTAAATTATTTCAGCCTACATAAATATCAGTCCATCGAGCTCCAATTTGTGTTGGAATATTCGAAAAGTGATTCTTCAGGAGCTGAAAAATCATGAGCAAGAAAAGTATGAAGAGGCGAAAGATGCGGAGAGCAGATTTTTTGAAATTTTGGAAATTCCATTAATTGTAGAACGAGGGGATAAACAGTTTTGTGAAGAAATGATACTGTATGATTTGAACAAGTTGAGAATGCATGATGATTTTAAAGCGATTGTAAGGAACAGAGAATTTGATTTTCATTAGATTTAATTAGTCAATTACGGGTCTATAACTATTCTAATGTTCAAAAATGAAAATTTTTTTATGTTTTAAATTTTTTTTTCCCTGAAATTAATGGTCTTTGACCCATTTTTTCATTACTTCGCTCCTTTTTTTTCCATAATTTTTTGTAAAAAATTTAACAGATCAATTTAAAATGACCTGCTTGGTTTGTGGATCTCGTCAATCTGAATCTCATTTTGGTGGAATGTCATGTCGGTGGGTCTCGAATTCTCAAATTCAAGCCATCCAGTTTTTTAGAGCCTGCGCAGCATTTTTTCGAAGATTCTTCAATTCCAAAAAGTTTGTTATCAAATGTACATGCACATCGAAAACGGTTGGTTCACATCCGTGTAGGAGTTGTCGAGTGGCAAAATGCTTTGCAGTTGGAATGACACCAACAAGTTAGTGAAAATTTGAACTTTTAAATGGAAAAAACAAAGAAAATTGAGAAAACTTCCGAAAAATTTGTAATGGGAGGGCCCCACTGTCAACTTTGAGCCCGTATATGTCGGTTCCTGTGAAAGATATCAAAAACTTATCAACTGCTAAAATGTTTGTGATATTATAATAAACAGTTTATCCGTTGACAACTTTTTGATATCTTTGATAGGAAACGAAATAAATTGATTCAAAGTTAAAAGTTTGGGGCATTTCTATTTGAAGTTTTACGGCAAAACAGTTGAAGTTGAAAAAAATTGAGAAACAACACCAGTTAACTTATAAAGTCAGAAAATTTTGAACCAAAATTTGAAAAACAAACGTAGCTCATCAAAATTATAAAATGTTGCTTACTAAAATTCTCTGAAAACAAAAATGATTTTAAATTTCCAGAACTGTGTGGTCAACGAGATCCGAACGGATCGTCCCCGAAAAAACTCCTGGATTATTCCTCACCAACAACTTCCAATTTTTCGTTGCTCGTGAGTTTTTTTTTGCGAGTCACGACCTGAATTTAGATTTCGAGGTCATGACCTAGATTTAGATTGAAAGGGCCTTAATTTCAATTTTTAGGTCATGAACTAAATTTTTAAATTTTTTCCGTCGTGGCCGAGATTTCAACATTTGGGATATGACCTAGATTCTGATTTTGAGGTCATGTCTAAACTTTTTGAAAATTTGTGAAGCCTGTTTTATTAGGTTTGACGGTTTTCCGTGATACATTTTAAGCAACTCGTAACATTTGTAACATTTGAAATAAAAATTCTGCTATTCAAATATTTACTTTCAGCCCTCCATCTATTCCAAGGACACCACCAATATCACATCTACCCTCTCCAACTTCTCTGTTTTCGAATCAAAACGAAACCATATGTTCTCATCAATTTTTCCCCAAGATGTTTTTGGAATCACCAGTCTTACTAAAAACGATCTCCATCTGACAAATGATCTTGTATCCGACGCATTTCCGGATTTCGCCAAATTGAATTCCTGCGATAAGAAATCAATGATAAATGGGTTCGTACTCAAGTTATGGCAAATTGAGCCAGCATTGGATCATGTGGCAAAACGAGTGGAATATAAGACAATGAGTGATGAGAATGTTCAGAAAATATTGTTTCCGTTTTTCAATGGAAATTTTCCCAATGGAGTTGAAATGTCAGATGAGGATATTTGGAGGTAGTTGGATATTAAGAAAGTTTTAGAAAAATAAATGTTTCCAGAATCTTTGGCCACCATTGGACATATTTCTACAAGAACATCATTGAGCCAATCGTGAAATTATCCCTGGATCAGATTGAGCTAATGGCAATAATATGGATTTTATTTTTTGACCACGGTAACTTGTATAGCTTATTGTAATAGATTGTCGTCGTATACTTGCTTTTTGAACTCAATTATCTCGGTTCCTATGAGTGATATTAAACATATGTAAACTATTGAAATAAATGGTAATTTTATGACAAACATTTTATCAGTTGATATATTCTCGATATCTCTTGTAGGAACCGAGATAGTTGAGCTCAAAGTGCAGCACCAAAATTTCAATTTTTAGGTAATGACCTAGATTTCAACTTCTAGGTCACGGCCTAGATTCCAAATTTTAGGTCATGACCTAGATTTTAATTTTTGAGGCATGACCTAGATTCCGATTGTTAGGTCATGACCTAGATTTCAAATTTTAAATCATGACCTAGATTTCAACTTCTAGGTCACGGCCTAGATTCCTAATTTTAGTTCATGACCTAGATTTCAATTTTATCATTGTTTTAGCATACATCGACATCAGCCAGAAAAGTTCTGAACTTTGCTGGAACATCAAAAAAGTTATTTATCGAGAACTCAAAAATTACTTGATGGAAAAATATGAAGACGAGGAATTCGTTCAATTTCGATTCATGAATATTCTGGTGGTTCCTGCAATTGTTGAAAAAGGAGAGCAAAAATTTCTGGATGAGTTCTTAATTTGTGAAATGCATCGGATAAAAATTCATGATGATTTTAAGGCGATTGTTAAAAAACAGAGGATTTAATGAAGAATTTAGTTTTTGAAGTTTTGTTCTTTTTTTTTTGAAACTCTGTTTTGGTTTTTTCCGACGAATTTTTTTTTTGGCTTTTGCTTGTTGATTAATCTGAGCAACCAGTCCAGAATGTGCCAAGTTTGCGGATCTCCTGATGCCAAACCTCATTTTGGTGCGATCTCATGCAGGTAACTTTTCGAAAAAAAATATTGAATTCCAAAGTTTATTTACAGGGCCTGTGCAGCTGTATTTCGAAGATATTGCAATTCGAAAAAATCGATACTATATTGTAAATGTGAAACCAAAGACAAAAATACGTATCCTTGTAGAAAATGCAGGATTGAGAAGTGTATAGCAGTTGGGATGAAATCGGATAGTAAGCATTTCAACTTGAAGTTTGAATTTTTTAAATTTGAAATGGAACTTTTGAATAAGGCTTCCATTTCGGTCGGTCGATAATCGCCGACCGCCGACCGACCACCGACCCCGCCGACCGACAGCCGACCGAGCTGACCGATCGGTTGGCGCCTCGAGCGATTTCGTGCATTTGCGCATCAAAATACGAGTTTTTGCTTACGAACCATTTCATTTTACGACAAACGAGGCGTTTAGTAAACGCCTTGTCGTGAAATACAATAAGGCGTATGCAAACACGTTGACGCGCAAATGCACGGTGACGCGCAAATGCACGTTGACGCGCAAAAACGGTCGGTGCGCTGACCCATCGGTCAACTCGGTCGGCTGTCGGTCGGCGCGGTCCGTGGTCGATCGGTCGCCTAAATTTCCTGACCGCATGGAAGCCTTACTTTTGAATGTTCAAAATTATAATTTTAGATTTCCAGAAATTCAAGGAAGACGGGACAAAATTTCGGACAAAGAAACAACTTGTTCGTCGATGGTAATTTTTTTTAAATTTCATCGTTAAAATTTCTTTAAATTCAAAAATTGAAAAATATTTTCCAATCATTCAGACTCGCCTACCTTTCCGAAGTACTTCAAAACTCCATTCTGCAATCTCAAACTGGCAAAATTTCGAATCAATTCGTCTAGAAAAATCTGGACGAAAAGAAGGAATGATGACAGTTTACGAATTGAGCTGTATTGTAAAAATCGATATTGACTTAACATGGAAAATGGTGATGAAGATGTTTCCAGACATGGAAAAGCTGAAAATCCGGGATAGGGTATGTCAAAAATTGATTGGTGGGAAATTTGAAAATTTTGAATTTTGCAGTCATCTCTTCTGAATAATTTTATTGTCAAGTTATGGCAATTGATTCCAATTTTGGACTTTTTGAATAATTCTGAAAAATATTTGAATCTAAAAGAAGAGGATATTCAGCAAATGGTAATATGGTTTTATCAAGGATGTTTTCCAGAGGACCAGCAAATGTCAATTACACTCTTGAGGTGCCTGATTTTCTATTTTGTTTCTGAAAATTCTGAAAAAAAAATTCCAGAAAATTTGTGCCATTTTGGACATTCAACTACAAAAAAATTATACTTCCAATAGCTGCTCTAGGCCTGGAAAAAACTGAAATGATGGCAATTATTTGGATGATTTTCGTAGATTACGGTTTCACTAACATATCTTCGGAATGCCAGGAAATGTGCCGGAATATTAAAAAAATGATTCTGAGAGAGCTGAAAAATTATCAAATCGACAGGAATTTCGATGAAATGCGATTCTTGGATACTTTAGAAACGCTGGAAATTATTGAACGGGGAGAGAAGAAATTCCTGGAAGAAATGATGATCTGTGAAATGCACAATGTCAGAATTCATGATGATTTTAAGGCGATTTTGAAAGAGAATCGTTTATAATTTTGAAATAAATGATTTTTTTGGTTTTGTAGATGCTGAAAAAATTCTAGTGGTTTCGTGCATCCCTCTAACCTATTTGACCTATTATTTGTGATTTGTTTATTCTAATCTTTAATTTTAAGTTTTAATGTGTCTAGTCTGTGGATCTCCAGAAGCTGAGACTCATTTCGGAGGAATTACGTGTCGGTGAGTTAATTTTTAAAGTCATTTTGGAGCTTAACTATCCTCAATACCAATTTTCAGGTCGTGACCTAGATTTATGTTCAAATTTTCAGGTCGCGACCTAGATTCCGATGTTAGGTCATGACCTAGATTTCAATTTTCAGGTCATGACATAGATTCCAATTTTTAGGTCATAGTCTAGATTTAATTATTTCGGTCGTGACCCAAAATCTAATTTTTACGTCATGACCTAGATTTCAATTTCAGAGCCAGTGCCGCATTCTTTCGCCGATTCTTCCATTCCAAAAAATCGACGTTAAGATGCAACTGCAAATAGTGAGTTTGATAGTGAGTTTAGCCTTTCGGGAAATAAAAATATGATGACCCGTTTTTCAGAAGTTCAAATGTGCCGAGAGAAGCATGGGAGGAAGATGGTGGCAGATTCCGATTTGCCATCAATTTTAGAGGTAAGTTGAAAATGAGATTTTCCGGATTTTTCTACAAATTGAGACCATTTCCAAGTATCGGCCAAAATTTAATTAATTTTACCTTCTTTTCTTTGAAAAAGGTCGACTTTAAATGTAGAATATGAAAAATATGAAAAATATGGTAGATTTCGTTAGATAAGTTTTAACTTTCGGCAGTATACTAAACAAAAATAGAACTTCAATTTTGTAGTTGACCACTTTCTTGTAGAATTTCGCCCAAGTGTGATACACTGTCTAAAAATTGCATGTCTTTGAAAATTGGAAATTTTGGCACACGGTTGGTTTCCATCGGTATATCTCATTTGGTTGAATTCGAACAAAAAAGTTGTCCACTTCAAAATTGAGGCTGTTTTTTGGTTAGTGGACCTGAAAATTTATTGAATCGTACAACATAATCTACTTTATTTTTTAGACATCCAAAGTTGGCTATTTTTGAACTTTAAGGTTTCAGACAAGAATAATATCCCGTGATTTTTCTCATCTCTCCTTCGCTGTCTCAAATTGGCACGAATTCGAAACTATTCAAGATGAAATGAATGGTGGGAAAATAGGATTTCAAAATGTTTTCCAAATGACCTGCACTGTAAACAACGATATTGATTTATCCTGGAAAATGGTCCATAAACAGTTTCCGGCTACACAGAATCTCAAAACTTCAGACCAGGTACGGAATTATCTTAGAAATTTCTCAATTAATTGATTTAATACTGACAATTGATAATTGGATTGATGGAAATTTCAGTCTGCGCTTCTCCGGAATTTCATGCTGAAATTATGGCAAATCGAACCAATATTAGACAACATTTTTAATGATGAAAAGTATATGAATATGAATGACGAAGGATTTGAAAACTTGATTGTGTCGTTTTATGAAAGAGCGTTTTTAGAGGGACAGGAAATGTCGAGGGAGGAAACTTTGAGGTAAAAATTATAGAAAATTTCAAATTAAAGGAGGGGAGACATCAAAAATTTCAAATTTTTTATTTTCTGTCAAAAGATGTAACTATAAAGTATAAATGTAGTGTTGTACTTAAAAACCTGAAAAAAATCATTTAACCGACGAAAAATGCTCTTTTTTGTTACCCTAATTTCTTCTCCGGCTTGCTGCTGCGGCGTCCCTTCATAATACACAAAAACGAAGCGGTCGCCTCTTACACGCGTAGTGTAAGTGGGTACGCTCTAGGCTAATAGTCATGAGGTCATAGGTTCAATCCCATTTGGTGATTTTGTTTTTTCTTCGCTTGTTCCTTTTGAGTTTGACTGTTCGAACTCGAAATTTCGAAAGGGCTGTCAGCGTGCGGCGAGAGCCTAGCTCCGAGATAACAAACTCAGTTGAACGTGAAAAATAAATGCAGTTTATTATGTTAACAAATAAATTATGCAAAAAAATACAATTTATTTTTAGAAAGGTAACCTAAAATATGAAAAAAAAACCATGAAATTAGAAGTTATTCCTGCCTAATTTGTCGTCGCAAGTCGAAGACCGCAGCCGAAGTGAAGACGTTGCTGAAAATTCTACTCATGAGACATACTGGATTTTTTTAAACTTTCGGAGTAATAATAAGGCGAAAAATACAAATAGAAAGTAAGATGAAACGGCTATCGGAGAAAAAAAAGTTTTTTTTGCATGTCTGTAGAAAACACGGGCCACTGGCAAAATAATCGGTCGATTAAACCAGAGAATTATATTAAAAATTATATTTTATCTGAGCTATACAATATATTAGAAAAAACGGTTTTTTAATGGTTAAAATTGGTAAAAACTTGTGAAAATCAGTCGGAAAATAAAAAAAATAAAAAAGTTTGCGCGTGGAATTGCGTGCATCAGGTGCGAACACCGCGACGTCAGAATGCACATCCCCTGAAATTTCCCCCGAAATTTTTGCTGTTTGGCCCCCTTTAAAGTTCAAAAATTTCAGAATTTTCCAACCATACTGGTCATTCTACTACCTAAAAATGGTCATGCCAATTGTGGTGTTGGATTTGGAAAGAGCGGAATTGATGTCAATTATTTGGTTGCTGTTTTTCGATAACGGTAAGTTTTGAATCTTTAAATTTTTCACAAAAAAATCTAATCTTTATAGGCTACACAAATATATCCCCGGAGTGTCAAGAAATGTGCAGAAATATCAAGAAAGTGATTCTCAGAGAGCTGAAAAACTATCAAGAATTTCGATGAAATGCGATTTTTGGATACTGTAGAAACACTGGAAATTATTGACAAAGGGGAGAAGAAGTTTCTGGAAGAAATGATGATCTGTGAAATGCACCATGTCAGAATTCATGATGATTTTAAAGCGATACTTAAGGAGAATAGGTGTTGAATGTTTAAATAAAATCCTTGAATATTGTTGTACGTTATTACAAATCACAAGACTTCAGTAATCTCAAATTTCAATTTTTGTGAGTAGTTTTGCAACTTCCACTCGCATTTGCTCACTTCCGGTAGGAATATTTTGGCACATAATTCGGAGGATCTTCTTTTTCTGATGTCCTTAGAGTCTTCCGACTAGAGTGGTGGACGTGGCGGACGCCGTGGAGGAGGACGTGGAGGTCATCATCACACAGGTGGATCGCGAGGAACGTTATATGGGATCGCGCGGTGTTGTATATGCTCGAAATACGAAACATATGTGGGCGCATTGTGCGAGCATATAGGATCCATGCGCCGACCAAAGCATATAGGATCCACGCCGCCGCGCAGCAGTTCCTCCCCTCCCCCAGGTCCTAATATTCTCTGTAAACTGAAAATAGAGTTTACCAATACAAATTTATTGAAAGTTAATAAAAATGACAAAAAATGAAGTAAAAAGAACATAAAAATAAAAAATTAACATTTTTGTCTCCTGGCTCCTTGGACTCGATATTTTCGTCGCATTTCTCCCTC